ATCGGCAAAAGTGGGCTTTGGCACATATGGTGGAAGAAGCAGAGGCGATCGAAGGGATACGCAAGCAGAGTTTTGTTGAGATATGTTGAGTGCCTAGTACCTCACGACAGCGATATTGACAGGAAGTGATGCGGGAGCAGGACAACACGATCCAGGCTTGCGGGAGAGAGAAAGAAAGAGAGAGAGAGGCCACTGCTTTGCACCTCCTTGCTGCCTTAAGGAGACCACAGCGCAAGTGAAGGGCCTTCGGGTGGTCGCTGAGGTGGAATGGATGGGCAGAGTACACCAGAGACTTGACACACCTTATTTCATTGGGGGCAGAGCTTCCTGGCAAAGGAGTGCGGAGTTTCTCACAGTTCCATCCTGGCCTGGCCATTTCGTTTCGCTTAACATAAAAAAAACATGAAAAGCTTGTTCATGCTTGTTCCACCAGGCCCTGTGTGACGTGATATTGAAAGTGGACAGCAAGATGCACGCCGGGGAACCCAGTGATGGCGGTGCCCGTGGCGAGTGATCGGTGCCGAGTTGTGCGATGTGGTGCATTCGTTCACAGGTTCGAAATGCCGACCAGCAACAGGATGCATTCTTCGAGCCATTGCCTTGAGGGAAGAATGGCATGTTTTCATTGCCAGATGAAATTGGATTCGCTATATTGCTGCATGCTGATTTGCATGTTGTTTCGCATTCCCATCATTGCCATGTCCACTCCGAACTTGTGTTCTGAGGACCAAGTTGGAAGGAAGGCGCTTTGAGGAGTTCTTGTCTGAGCAAGACAGGACGAGACAATACTGGGATATTCTTGTGAGCATTGTGAGGAATGTCCTGGAGAATTAGGAGTTGTTGTACCTCTGATCATTTGGCGAAGTTTGGCAGGAGTCGCTTTGCAAACTTAATGTCATCCATCAAGGACGCTTGACTTCAGAGAATTTCTACATTGGCCTGTTGCAGTCTTCTTGAAAGCACTGTTCTTCGAAGAACATCATTTTCCCTGTCGCATATTGGCCGTGTTTGGAACGCCGCTCCGTGACAACAGGGCCGAGGTCCGCCTCTCCGCAGTCCGCCTCCTAGCTGCTGAGGTGGGCTTTCCTGCTTGCCTTCCACTGACCATCCGCAAGCAGCATCTGAATTCTGAGGTGGTTCACTCAGATGATAAAGTGGCCAGTTTTATCAAACTTCTCTGCAAAGCTGCATCAACTCGCCAATCGCAGTCATGTGTTCAATTGTTATCATGTTCCTAGTGTTCCAAGTGCGTCAGTCCATTTCAAAATGATTGCGGAGGTGAACAGCGTGTGTTTACTTTCCCAGAACACCACGGACGGGAGACCTGGTCTTGAAACTAAGGTGCACTTGCTAGCGGTGGACACCGGCATGACGAGGCAATCTATAGATGTTTCCGTGCCAAAATCTCCCAAACAGAGCTGCGGTGCTGTTGGCCTGCGGTTGCGCAAGGGAGCCTCGATACCTTATTGGAATTCGCATTGAAGCGGAGCAGTTTAGTGCAAATGCCGAAGAGGCGTGAGCGCGCCAGCACCCGCGCGCGCCGGCACCGCGCGTGCGCGCGTTGATCTTTTTCCGGGGCACTGTGTGTGCAATCGTATGCGAATGTGAGGCAGTGAGAAAGGTGGAATCTGTTGATTCACCACGAGGCAGGTCCGGAGCGTTTGGGTCGTACAGGTCGGGGTGAGGCTCACGCTGGCCACATTCTAGAATCCTTTCAATCCTTAAAAAGCCAGGCAGGTGCAGGACGACCTTTTCTTGGACATGAAGTTGGGATTGGGCAACGGTGTGACCTAACCGCTCTTCGTCTGTTCCAAGGGCATTTTCTCACTGTGTCCGCTCGACCGGGCGCACTTGCTGCAGGAAGCCATGGATTCTCTGCCGTTTTGCCCAGGGCTGACTCGCAGCCAAAGGTCAAGGTGGACTTCTCCGAGGACAGAACGACCGAACGAAGCGAACGAGGCGACTCGGCCACCTTTTTCCCCCCTGGTCCACCTGGCCACACACACAACAGTATTATTCACTGGGCAGTTTGATAGGTTGGAAGACCCTTATGGGTCAATGGTCAATTAGTGAATGGTACTTTCTTCGGGAACGTGACAGGACGGACTGAAAGGCCGTTTCTTTCGAAAGTGGTGTTGAAGCGGACTGAATGTGGCCTACAGGAGGATGATATCAGTTGCAGAACTTATCCTAGGTATGCCAGATGCTAAGCTTTAGCAGGAAATTTAGTCTGCTCTGGGAAAGGCGGCCCAGATGACCCCCTCAGAATGGCGTGCGTGAGGGGGTGCTTGTTGAAGCTGATATTCATGCCTGGCAAAGCTCAGATGCGGATCAGCTCAGTTTCTTGAATCGAACATTGACACCAAGGCGCAGAACAAAGAGCCACTCTATACGCCTGCAAGATCAAGGGCTCTTTGCATCAAGAAGTTGTCCTGACCTCAAGCCCAGCTCAAAGGAAAACCAAACTCAGCTGAAAGCAACAACCAAGCCCAGCTGAAAAGAAAAGCCAAGCTCAACTGAAATGAACATCCAAGCATCTAAGCTGAATTCAACTGAAAACCAAGCTCAGCTGAAAGGAACAACCAGGCTCAGCTGAAAGGGAAAAAGGAACAACCAAGCTCAGCTGAGAGGAAAACCATTTGCCGGTGCTTTCCGTGTTTGTTTCAGGCTACCACGTTGGCAAGTGCCTCGAGACACGGATTCTTGCTGCCAGGCTTGCCTGGGATGACATCCTATCATATCATTTCTTTTCTGAGCTGATAAACACAGTGGAAAAGGTCTTCTCGACGAGCTCCTTTGCTCTTGCCAGTTTGATCCTTGCTTCAAGCCCAAACCCTGCCCAGTATCACACTTCTTCTTTTTGCATCCGCTGCAGTATCACACTGTAGTGGACTCCATGGTGGAAGCAATGCCTGAGCCCCGGCCGGTGCGCACCACCACTCCGAATTTCACGGCGTCCGGCCCAGGGAGCTCCTGGCAAACACCAGTTGCGAGCCCCTGTTTCAGACTTTTGGAGGAGCTCAGTCTGGGAAGCTCAGATGGCACGGACGGCGATCATGGCCATGACGTGGAAACGTGGTTTCAATTAGGCTTGCTTGGCGTCCTTGCTCCTAGTAGTAAGGCCAGGAGCCCCTAGTAGCGTCCTTACTGTATATATGTAGATTAATTTTTTTTGGTGCCTCCTGTTTTCCTCCTATTTTTTTAGATAAGTTGGAGAATCCCAAGAAACAGATTCCAACTGGGACTAGAAACTCCAACTGTATTTCAATGATGACTTCTTTTTCCTTTCTGTGTTCCCGTCTTCACCCAAAAATAACGCAGACCTTTTGAACTTGGCCTCTTCACGCCGCAAAAAGCCACGGTGTGTCAGGTGCCAACGCTGCTTGTGTATGTGCAATCGCGAGCAACGAAGGCGCCGGGTGCGCCAACGGGGAAGCATCTTTGTGTAGTCAGATCCTGGACCACTCAACAGGAATATTTGAGACTCAAGGGACCCGCTTGTCTCTCTAAAGTTTCTAAAAATACCAAAAGCTGGCATGAGGGAGTCGCGATTGACTGATTTGCTGGTCCGGCGCTTCGCGGCGCTTCGCGGCGCTTCGCGGCAGAGACCTGCCATTTAAGGAGATGCTAAAGGCCAAGGACATCCAACGATTCACCAATTCATGAAAAGACATTTTCTTTCTCTGAAGCCAAGGGAGATTCGCCTGCGACTTTTGCAGGTGCTAATTACTAATTACATGATGAAAAGACATGCACAAACAGACCACAAGCACAGGAGTCCGACTATCTCTGCAGTTTTGATTGGGTAGTCGGACTCCTGTGGTAGAGCCACCGGTCTATCGGTCCAAATCCGCAAATACGCGGCCATGAGATGCACTTGATTGGAACTTCCTAAAGCTAAAAAGCAAATCGAGAGATGACGCACTCACAACAATTCTTGCGTCACCCAGGGTCAAACACGTTCAACCAGACCTATGGTGAGTATTTACTGGCCCTTTCAATGTCCCACATATGGGGCTTTTCGGGACATTTTTACAATTTGTTCGTAGCGACATATCCAGATGCCATTGTGACCCAGCGCTTGGCAACGAGGTGTGCGGTATGCGGCTATACACTTGAAGAGAACGCACAGCATTCGCCTCATGCTGATTTGTCTTGACAAGGCCGCTGCAGTTCTTTGTTGGTATGGAAAGAGCAGACTTGTTCGCAGATCAAGGAAACTTGACAAGAGGCTTATGATCAACACAGTTCAACTATAACTCTTTGTAACCTTGTGACCAGTAGGTGGAGACGACCTCTCGGCTTCTGGTGCATAATGTGTATATGATGTGTCGTGACTTTTCAATTCGCTAGCGTATGCAGGCAGAGGTTTGTATGAGAGCAATGCTGGACCGGTGTCACCATTGAATTCCGTTGAACAATTTTCAGAGTGAGGGCTGGCATACAGCGAAGCAATGACTTGTATACGTTTGCCTTCGACTGCGACAGAATTCAACACATGAGTCTTTGTTGGACATGCCAATGCCCAAGTTTGCCTACAACTCAGCAGGCCAAGTTTGCTGATGACGGGCCCTTCGGTCCTATTTTTGTACCGTGTCACAGCATGAGCGTGCAAAGAGAATAGGGTCTCTTTAAAGTCATTCATGCAGGCGGCAGGCGACACGTTACAATGGACATCTGCTTCTCAGACGGACTCGTCTCCCACCTTCATGGCTGGGCACGGCTGGACGACTTGCACCTACAGGGTCACCCAGACAGATCAGTGTTTAATCGACGCATGGCGAGCAGCTTCGTGAGCCCAGCTTCGTTTTTCGGCCGAAAAAAAGCACGGTGGACGGTGCCGCGGCGATGGATAGCAGCCGCTGCGGCACTCAGTGACTCAGGTTGACTTCTCAAAATGACTTGAAACAAGGATGCCACATGACGTCAACCTCCCACAGTTTGGGAATATATTGATTGTGCCCCTTACCTATTGGACCAGCTTGCGGATCTTACCGCAGGCCTCGCGTTCGTGCATTCTGGGAGCTTTGTGCCTCTGGCTTTATTGGTAGAAACAGGCTTTTTAATGACCTCAGGGTTTTGTTTCTTGGCCTTTACTCTCTAAGGTCCTCAAGTGTTCGGCGCTTCCAGTTGTTGAATTTCCAAAGCCTAGACCACTTATCGACCTGAAAAGCTTCTTTCAGTGGCCAGGTTGCAGCGTTTGTGTGGATTCTGCCGGGCACTTGGATTCCCATCTGCAGCGACATGGATTTGACTTCGATCCGAAGCAAGGCCTGCTCACTAAGCCAAACTTTGATTCAGATGGCACAGGACCTTCAAGGGTGCCCAAGGGCAGAGAAGTGTGGAGGAATGTGGATATGATGCACCCCCTCCATTCAAAAAAGCAAAGAACTCAGCACATTCAATGAATGTATTTTACAGACTTGGGGCTTCCCCCATGGTGATCATCCAATCGGTTTCTGGGTGTCTTCTTAATTCATACACACGTCACATACCCTTGATTGCAGGGAATGTCTGCTTTTCGATTCACCATTCCACTTTTCTTTTCGCGGCAAAGCAGGAGGTATGGCATGAGCTACTAGGCGGCCCCTGCGAGCCAGCTGCTCAGGACGCTGGTGGTCTGTGCTTTCCTTTGGTGGTCTGTAACAGGTATGTCGGGTGTCACGATCTTTGCCTTGGAGACCCGAACACTGAACATGTGACGCGCGTGTCCCGCGCGTGTCCCGCGCGCGTGTCGGTGGGTTGGTTTGCTTTCGCCCAAACGGGACGCCGCAAACGCTTTGAGGTCGGCCTTTTTGGCCGCTGCAGCAGCTTGGAGAGAAAGTGTGGTGAGATGTAACGATGAGGACAAACATGAACGATGCAATGTTTGTGGACGTGCAAACGTGTGTCTTCCGTCATGAACAAACAGGAACAAACCTGTGTCTTCCGCCTCTGAACGTTCTTGGCGCGAGGTCGTTTTACTTCAAAGCTCCACCTTAGCCTTTGGCGATGGAGGTGGCGATGATTGGCTTCACAACGGCCATGCTTTGCTGCGTTGGCCGTTCTGCTCAGGCTTGCCGTTCTTGAAGAGCTACCTGAAGAGCGAGCTAACCTGGGTTCAGAGCCCTGGAACGACATGATCAATCACCGCCAGCCTGCGTTGCGTTTCGTCAACATATACAAAGTCCATGGATGTGAATTGGATGTGGCTGGAACACATCGAAGAGGGTTAACTGGTTTTAGTTCTGTTCTCGGATGGCAACCCTGTTTTTGAGCCACTCTGATGCCATTGGCCCAGTCCGATACTTTTGGCGCCGGTCAGCTTCCACAGGCGCGCATGAACCTCCTTCTCTCTTTGTAGATTGGGTCGGAGCTGCTAAACAACATCTTGTCTTTTTCATTCCTTTTTTCTAAAGACGACCAGCCTTTGATGACCAGCCTTTTCTAAAGACGGTGACTACAGCGATTTGCCCAGCTCCATCCATTTCCCTTCGCAGCGGAGTTCTTGGTCCTCTATCAGAACTTTGCGCCCTAGAACGTTGAACACGAAAAGAAAGTGACACCTCACTGAACCACAGCAATGCCGGGAGAGAGCGAGTCACTTGTTGGAAGGCTCTTCCCGTGGCTGAGGTACCTCTCTCCATGGTACCAAGCTGTGAGCAGACAGACAGCGCCTCCAACTTAAAGTGTGCCCGCTAGTCACCACATCACAGTCATCAGAGTAGCTGGCAGTGAGGTCAATGTTTTTCATTTTACAGCCATGTGATGTCATGTATATGGTACCAAGATTGGGTCAATGTTCGAGTTGAAAGCGGATAACGGCTGCACATGTTTGACCTCGCTTTGAAAGTGTTGGAACAGATGTCTTCTTTGTCGATGACTAGACCACTTTGCTCTATTTGGTTCCCAAGAAGCGGCCGTTTGTCAAGGGCCGTTTTGTCATACAGCATTTTTGTGCTGGACGTATCCTGCTTTGCCAGAAGCATCAAGCTTTTTACAATACTTGACGCGACTCATGAGAAGCTGCTGGACAGTTTTGTGGGCGCTGTTCTGCTGCAGGGTGTGTGTGGTTTTGAGCCTCAGGCTGACTTTACTTTGAGCTGTATTCAAGCTGAGATGGGCAACCAGGTTGAGCTCTTCAGAGTTGCTTGCAGCAGTGCTGTTTGGGGCCCAGAATGGACGAGGAACATCTTCTTGGAAACGTTTGGGTTTCTATGTTGGTTTTAGATAGGTCGTGCAACCGGAATCTGTCGAAGCTGGAAAACCTCCAGGATGGCTACACCAAAGGATTGTGGCAGCCGAACTGCTCTCAGGACTGCAGGAATGAACCCTCACGCCACTGCAGGAATAGTGGAGCCACCGGTCCATGGCGTCGCGACATCTGCACCGGTCCATGGCGTCGCGACTCTTCTGTACAGATTAGACAAGGACGTGGGTCAAAATACCCCCAAAATGGCGAGAGGATTTTGTCTTCTTGGGTGCTTGACATCGCCAGAACATAGACCCGAGTTGGCTGAGACTGACTGGAGACCCTTGGAAGATCTCGGAAGACATTCTTTTGGGCTGTTCACCATCCTTGTGAACATTGAGAGTTGACCCGGTTGAACCATGTTTAACCCCCCGGTGCAGCGCTGACAGAGCAAACGAGTTGCCCGCGGCCTCCGCGTCAAACCGCAGGATCTTCACTGGGACCGCCTGGAGCCGCAGGAATCTCCCGGTGTGGGCGAACCGATGGACGAGCCCGATGGCAAGCGACGGTGACATGGTGTAGAAGAGGATGAAAACACCATTTAGGATGTATTTTGAATGGAGACCCGAAATCAGTCGGTGGGCTGGTCCATTTTCCTTCTAAGGGGTCTTTTGGAGGTCTCCCTATTTTGGGTTTTGATACACACCCAAATTGGTTTTGCAAATGGGGACCCTCAGTTGAGACAGCCAGACAAACATTAAACATCAAACGGCTTCCTCAGTGTTTCGATAGCCCCAAAGATATTCTGAAGACGTGTTGTTGCAGCTTGATCGAAGTTTGAATACACCATTTAGATCCATTTAGTCATTTTAATGTGGCATTTTGTTCAATGGCTTTGGGTGGTCCACAACTTTTCGTCAAAAAACGAGTTGTAAGGCGCGATTTTGCTGCCCTGCCCTTGGTGCAAGCCACATGTTTGAAGACAGCATGGTTTCTGTCTTTAACACGGACCTGGTAAACAGCTTGAGGAAAACGAACTGCTTGGCACTTTTCAGGCCACAAGCAGAACTGAAGAAGGCCACGGCCGAAGAGGTTTTCAGCGGCTTTGATTGGATCTGGTCTCAGGCAAGCTGCTTTACAGAGGCGGATGATCAGACACTCGCAGCGTCCTGATCGTGCGAGGGTTTGGTACGGATCCACCTGAAGACCGAGCCCTGGCCGTGAGTGACGAGCGAGACGAGCCGCCCGACCTCTCAGGCCCTACGGTGTCGGAGCCGGAGGCAGGTAGCGACAGACCGGACTCCGCACACCGGTGACGGGGAAATGTGAATGAAGACGCATCGCTTGGGAATAGTAGCTTCTTGTTATACACTATACAGTAGCAAGGACGCTACTAGGTTGGATGCCATCGCTACTAGGTTGGAGGCCAATACTACTAGTAGCAAATAGCTACTAGAGGGATGTCAGTGCTGCTTAATGCGACAGAATGCAAAGCCGCAAAAACCATCGGTTGGGAGTGCCCATATTCAAAAACGCCCACACATACACAGTTAAACAAATCTCTCTCTCCCTCTCTCTATATGATATTATATAATATATACTACATTGACATGACATTGGAGGATCTTCAACTTACATCATGGGCGTTTGCAGGTTTGACTCCTTGCTCCTTGCTCAAAAGGAGCAGGCCAGAAAGGCCAAGTACCTAGCAGGCAGCTGTGGAAACAGTTTGAGACCTTTGGCTGTTGGGCTGTGAAATTCCAATTTGCATCCACAGTAAGGCATTTGAATGGAGATGTCCATCTCAGTCCTCTGGAAGCAGAAACAAGTGCCCATACCGCCACACCCAACATGATTCTTGGTTCCTTTTCAAAGAAACGACCAGAAGGACCAGAAGGACCCCGGGAATTTGACTGTTTTTGTTTGTTTGAGAAAACGACCAGCTCGCAATACCAGGTACTCGGAGCAATCGTTCCGAAATTGCGCTGCGGGATTCGGCTCCTGGGGCAGGGGGTGCTCAGTCTGGTTACCCGGTCGTACGGTCATACCGTGTCACGTGCATGGAATTGGTGCGAGCATGAAGTCAGGGGACAAACTTGGAGAAACTCGGACAATTCCAGGTTTATTTTGGGCGGTCAATGGCCAGAGACGGGTTTCCTCATCATTCCTCATCCACAGAGATGAATACAGACGTGAAATGCTCCCTGATAGTTGTGGCCAGAGACCTGTACAGTGACAAGGTTTGGGACACACGAATGCGCTGCACAGAGCACAGAGACCTTCTGCCGGCTCTTGGTCTAGGGAACCCATCACAAAGAACCCACAACTCACCACGCGTGAAGACAACTCTGATCTTGAACCCTTGGCACAAAAGCAACTGCCCTTTCCGTGGCTCTGGTTCAAGCGCAGCTAAATGCACTTGACGCATCTTGAACTTCACGGAGGGTTCGGCGTTGATTCATGCATTTCACAAGTGCATGATACTAGGGCTGTTTGAAAGGTGCAATATTGACCTAGGGCAGGAGTTGCACATGGTGCGCCGCGCACGTGGAACGTGTGCGACCGCGATCGCAGCAATTCTGGCATCCTTGGGCTGTTGCAATTGCTTCATCGGGATGGAGACTAAAGGATCTAAAGGCACGGTCAAAGCCGATAGAGCGCCAATCCAGATCATCAAAAGCATTCAAGAGCTGTGTGTAGAAAAACGTGTTTAGAAGATTTTTGTGGGTACAGAATTTTTGACCTACAGCCAGATAGCAAAGTCGCATTCTGCAGGCGGATATGTGCCCGCAAAACGAAATCGAAGTGACGTGGCCAGAGCTGCCGAAACAACATCTGAAGGCCCAGGAGACACAGCCAGCTGTGCAGGTGTTTTGAAGTGGCTATTGTGTAGAAACTATCGCCAGCCCCCGGCGCCTGACTCTTCTAGTTATAACGAGAAATGACTCACCCAAATTCTATGTGCTTGCATTGCTTGCCCTGCCATTAGACCTCATCCTCACACTTCCATGAACGCTTCCATTGGACCTCATCTCTTTGCACCGTGTTCTGTCAAACACGTGCAGTGGAAAGAACGCGTCATGATCTTGCAGGACGCATTGTGATCTTGGGAGCTGGGCTGCAGGGTGCAGCTTTGGCTTACTATTTGACTCGTCGAGGCCAGAAGCCCTTGATCATTGAACGTGAAAAAGTGGCCGCGGCGGCCAGTGGCAAAGGAGGAGGCTTTTTGGCCAGAGACTGGGGAGATAGCATCACCAGGAAGCTTCACACGGTCGCGTAGATGTGAGCACAAGGGGTGCTTTTATACACATCTTTTTTCCATCCTTTTAGGAAGGACCTTTTGTTCTTGGTTGACACATGCTAAATCCGTTCGCGGTTTTTGAGTTGTTTCTTGAGGTCAGCTTCAAGTTGCATGAAGAACTGGCAGAAACACTTGGCATTGAGTCCTATCGCAAGCTTCCAGTTCTGTCTGTGTCCCCCGGCAAACGAAGCAGCAGCACTTTAGACATGTGTGAATGGCTGGATGGTGACATCGAAAGCATTCGCCTCATGGACCCCAATGGAGCACAGGTCGCACCCTTGGAGCTTTGTACAAAGCTCATCGACGCCGCAGTCCAAGCGGGCGCCGAGCTACGGATTGGAGCTGCTGAGGGTGTGGAAATGGAACCAGATGGGGAGATAGAGCGTGTGACAGGTGTGATTGTGGATGGAGAAACAGTCCCAGCTGACCAAGTGTGTGTTTGTCTTGGCCCATGGGCTGCTCTTGCCCAAGACTGGTTCAACATGCCAGTTCCCATGACTGGTGTGAAAAGTAGCAGCATCGTGTACAAAAGCAAAGGTGGTGAGCCTGTGAAACCATTTGCAATTTTCTGCGGGGAGGATGACCGATATGGAACTCACTTGGAAATTTATCCACGCAATTCAGGTGAGGTTTACATCTGTGGCATTGGTGGCTCAGAGTACATTGATGGTAGCCAGCTTCGACGTGGAGAGTTGCTCCCCTCTGAAGTCAAAGCTGATCCTGCTCGGGTCAAAGCAGCCACCGCCTGCTTCTCAGAGATGAGCCGCAGCCTTGGAGGGGAGCCAGATGTTGTGCAAGCTTGCATGCGGCCATGCCCTCCAGATGCTTTGCCAATCATGGGGAAGGTGCCTCACGTGCGTGGTGCTTACATTTCAGCTGGGCACAATTGTTGGGGTATCCTTTGGGCCCCCGTGAGTGGCCTGGCCATGTCGGAGCTGATCTTGGATGGCAAAGCCTCCTGTGTCGACCTGCGCCACTTCTCCCCCAACCGCTTTGCCCGTTCCGGCTCGGCTGCAGCATTGAGGGGTCGGAAGATGGGTGCTGTGCCGGTGGGAGAGCAATGGTGAAGGACCTAAAAAGATCGTTTTAAAAAGATGAAGCTGAGCAGAGCTCTCGGAAATCTTGTCCACTATGATTCACGCTGCTGGCAGAAATCCCGCAGCTCGCTTTCCAACAGGTTCTCTGTTTCTTAGTGCTCTCGTCACCTGAGGTAGACGCATCGAATCTCATTTAAAGTGCGTAGCAGCCGTCATCTTAGAGTGTACTTGCCCACATAGTGTAGTTTTATGTAGGCCTTTTTTATACCTGCGCTCCTGACTCCTTGAGGTACAAGTTGCAGAGACTCTTCAGCTTAGGCGAAGACTCTTCATGTTTTCAAGTGAGGGGGGCCGTAGGGCCTGCTGTGCTTTGTGCGATTCTTTTTTGAGGCCAGAGGAGTCAGTCCTTGATTGGGGCTCGGAAGCTTAAGAACTGGGGAGATGGCGAAGGGACTCTGGATTTCACAAGTCGTGACGGTCAGGACCTGATGGCTTCAGGTAGTGGTTGTGGATGGGCGCTGACCTGGATGTCTTTGGCTTGGCACATGCAGGGCAAACAATGCAATTCAGCCCAGCACAGCTCGGCTGTTCTTGCGCATCCGAGAAAGGTCTGCCCTCTATGGCATCCGAGGGTATGGCATCGAGGTGCGGTGAAAGCTTCTTGAAGGTCTGTGCACGAAGAGAACCCAATGCGAGGCCACATCGCAGAACATTGCCTGGGCCCGGCGCTTCTCATCAGGTGAGCACAATCTGCTAGCGAAGAAGCCCGCCCCATAAACCATAGAGTTGTGACGCTATCAGTGCGCGACTGCACTGCGGTTCCTTTGGCATTGCTTTGCAGCTTCTCCCACGTTTTTTGCTATTCCGACTTCTGAGTGCGTGCTAGCTTTGCTTCGTTTCCTTGGCGTCTTTGGCTTTTGTCGGCTTTGACTGGGGAAAATGCATGAACATGCATTTTTGGCGTCAATTTTGACTTGGGAATCAAAACTCTATCCTGAACAGAATAGTCTCTTTAGATCTCTTTAGCATGTCTATCTTCCATGTTTTGGCTGATTTGTTTTTTCATTGACACCGACACTGGCATCTATCGCTCTTGATGGCGCATTTCGAACGGGCGTATCATCCAACAGGCCCTCAACTAGTCGGGTGCGTGACGTGCGTATCCTCTCGACGTGTCGAAGGACGTGTCCAAGCAACCGCGATTACCAGTGATTTGCAACACGTGGCGGTTTGTGGGACTCTTCGAAGATTTGGGAGCTGTACTGTAGGGAGTTGTGCCTGAGAGGCTGTGAGAGGTTGTGAGTTGTAACGCATTTGCTGCGTAATACCTGACACGCCATCTGCCGGTTCCAGCCTGCTTGCTGCTGATTCAGCAGCTACCCAGACACCCTTCCCTCGCTCGAAGAAGCATCCAGCCTTTTCCGTATTTATTGGGGTACAACTACCGTATGTCTTAGACTTCGCAGTGATGTGTGGTGCAGGTCAGTACTGTTTGTATGGCGGCCTGGACTTAGGCAGCGCACTCGGATTTATTTGCCCTGCATGCCGCATGTCCTATTTGGTCGACTGCGGTTGTGACATAGTGCCATCGTAGAGGTTGGGTGTCAGATGAGTCCTTTGATGCAGTGATCTCGTACTGGGTCCGGAACTCAATTCCCATCTGTCTGATTTTGGTGCTCGTTGAGTGTTGACCCAGGTGCTCTATCACCACAACGCGACATCCCAGTGCAGGGGCCTGAGCTGGTCAGATTCAATAGCAACGTAAGCACCGGCTTTTGTCCCTGTGCTGAAAATTTGTGATAATGTATGTGCATCATCCTATAATATATATATATATATTATATACAAATATACACATAGGTATATGTGCGTCATTCAAACTGACAGCCTTGCGCTGCAGAAATTGTTTGCTCTTCGATGAGAACACTCCAGTCAATAGCGCTCCCTGCCACTCATCTCCTTGGAAAACACTTGCCACGAAGCCAAACACCCAACGAACAGTCAAAGGGCTGTCATAGAGCGAGGATGAGGGTGGGCGCAGATTCCACCGGACGCACGTGATATGGAAACAACTTCATGGAACAATCTATCTATCTATCCATCCGTCCGTCCGTCCGTCCGTTTGTCCGTCTGCCTGCCTTCCTGCCTGCCTGGCTGGCTGGCTGACAGTCTGACAGTCTGTCAGTCTGTCACAGTCTGTCAGTCTTTCAGTCTCTGTCTCTGTCTCTGTCTCTGTCTCTGTCTGTCTGTCTGAGAATGACAACCCTCAGAAATTCACTAGATGCGATGCCCATTGTTTATGCAATACCCAGGTAGATTTCTACGCTGCTGCTTATGTTGAAGAGCTGACGCTCGAGAAATGCAAACAGCAAGAATAAGAATAAGAAGAATAAGAAGAATAAGAAGAAGAAGAAGAAGAATAATACATTTCTTGTCAGGCCATGTAGTGCGACAACTCGTCCGAAAGTCGACACCTCGGGGACGTTTGGAGGGGCCCCAAAAGGGCCTGCTAATGCCGGCGTGCGAGGCTGAGACCAGGTGGCCGTGCCTGGTTTGGTGGGAACATCCCAAGCCAAGCCATCAACATTCTTTCTGAGCCTTTCAGGACTTGTGCCAACATGACACACTATGGATTCAACTCACAATATCGCAGGAGAAGAGACTGGATGCGGTGCTTGCTCCCAGCCCGAGTGCAGTACCAAGGATTCCAATGCATTTGGACAGGCCTTGCATGTACCGGGCAACCCAGGTGGGCGGAGTGCCGGTTTCTTTGGACTTCCTGCCGGACTGGAACGTCCTACGTCGACGGCAAAACCTGTGACGGCAAAACCTCCGGCCTTTTCTCCCTGTGACGGCGAAACCACCGTGTGTCTGCAGGATGCGACATTGTTCCGCAACAGCTTGAACCACTTGGGGCAAGAAGCAGGCGTGACGAGATGGAAGTTTGACTTTGGTACAATGGATTGGTTGATTGGCTCAGGCGACTACCTTCATTTCCATCCGACCTATTCTGTGGTGATACGTAGGATGTAGGATGAACATGCGCTCGAGCCAAAGCTGCTTGCAGCATGAGATGTACGTTGCCGTGCATACCCTTGAACAATTTGAACTTTAGGTGCAGATTTGGTCAAACCAGTGGCCTCCACTTTTGCATGTCTCCACTTCAGCAACTATCCATTGAATGCTGCGTTTGGCTAGAAGATGTCGCGGGGGCGGGCTGCCAAAAGGCAGGCCCTGAACGGGGGCAGGCAGGAGAGACGATCTTTTTCTTGCGACCGAACCTGTTGGAACGGCAGGCATGGTGTTCAGCTGGGAGAAGGCCGTAGATTCTCGATGGATGTGATAGGTCTTTGAACACGTGTGCACTCGCCGGCAAGGTTAATCCAGACGGTGCAGTGGATCCTCTTCCACTGCCCTTCTCCATTATCGATGAGGCTTTGGACAAGAGACACGTGGTACGTACTCCCCGTTGCAGCATAAGAACACGGATGTTTACTCCCCGTCCCTTGAGCGTTGACACCATGTGTCCTTTGATGTTTAGGAAAGCTCAGTGCGCCGGATGTCCTTGCTTCTTCACAAGCCTTTAACATTCGGTTCTCTTTCACCCCACCAACGCGCTGCAATTCTTACCCGATGCTTTGGGCGAAGTGGAGGTCATTGAAGACGTCCTGGAAGCGGTTGGCGAACAGGTCGACGCCATTGAGAAAAGGAAAAGGTGCCACTGGATTTTGCAAGTTCACGAAGGTGACCCAGCTTCCTGTCAGTCTGGAAGCATGAGACTTTAGCATCTGGATTGTGCCAAAGGTGTGCTGAGTATGAATTCTCACTACAAGAGGCACGGCTGTTGTACGGAGTTTCCTTCGATCAAGTTTCCATCCGTTGGGATCCAGGCAGGACCAAGCTCCTTCGTGCAGGCAGGACCAAGCTCCTTCAACTCATTGCCAAGTGTGCAGATATCCGCGGTATGCTGGCACCCATACCAGCAAGTGTTTTCGACGTTCTATCCATGGTTTTGGTTTAGTCTTCTTACTTTTACTTCCTTCCGACAACCCCTCGTTCATGGATACATCTGTAGGTGCCTGGACGGATAGCCTGTGCCTATGTGGAGCCCAGAGGGACCGCAAGGCGGAGAAGCAGAACTCATATTCATATTTGGCTGTCCGCCGTCTATCGACCCTACCCTATCTTCATGGCATTGACAGGATGGCTGTTGGCACAAGTCAAGGCGAAGCACTTCTTGTGGACACGCGCAAGGGCGAGGCACATTTTTTGTGCTGTCTTCGTGACTGCCTGGAGAGTACTCCGCCGGTGGGCGCTCGGATCTTTGACCAGGTCGTTGCACATGCTCATCCTTTTCCGGAGAGTGAGCCAGTGACCTGTGTCTCCCTTTGCTCGGAGTCAGCCTATCAGGAGCGAGGGTGATGCAGGTGTAGATTCAAGGATTTGACAGATAGGAAAGTGTGAACATGGTTCGAACACTTCGAGTTCATTCCTAGATGTCTCGTTCTGCAGGAGATCTTTGCTGGACCAGGCGTGCCGACTTTGTCTCAGGGCAATTTCCTTGAAACTGCGTACAACTTCAATAGGGAAGGCTATATTGAAATGTGCATAAGTTCATAAGTTGGCTGCAGTGTGGAAGTATCAAGCAGTATGAACTGGAAATGCCATGCTGGTGTGCATCTAGTCAGTCTGTAAAGTCTTTTTGCGGAAGAATTCTTTGGTCAGGCATTGACGCTCCAACCTTGCCATCGCCACCCTTGAAACTTTTTGTCAGACACAAGGAAGTTGCGGATCTGACATTCATGGCACATGATGGCACAATCTCCCCAAGGCTGCTGGAGTGAATACTCCCAAGATCCTGGTCTATGACATTCAGAAGCGGGGGGCTGAATCTCTGAGCGTCAGATATATTGCAGGGATTGATCTCAGCCAACGGGGCAGCTGCGGATAATTTCATCCGAGGGAAGCGTATGGCATTTTATTGAAGCCAGCCTGCCGTGCTCTCAAGTCTTATAAACGTCTTTTGTGCAGCTGCCAGTCTCCGAATTCTCATTTGGGTGGCCTCAGTGTTGGGTGGCCTCGCCCTGAAATTTGGGTATGATAAGATGGGGCATTCTATCTTTGCCCGTTTGGAATATTCGAAAGTGATCCCCTGGTGCGCCGGATGCCATGCATGGCGCCGGATTCACACAGGTGCTATCCAGTTGCCAAAGCCAGAGGCCAGCAAGCTGACCAAAAAATACGACCTGATGCAAAGAGGGAACACGAGAATGATTCCTTTGACTCCAAGATCCTAGTAGAAATGCATCTAGACTGATACAGATGGTTAATACATGGTATACAAAGCACCAGCAAGCCTCTTTGCACAAACCCGTGCAGCGACCGACGGCATCGTCATGCGTCCGACCAAGGAGACCGAGGAGACCGAGGTGGATCGCCCGGTGATCGAGCAGCTTCACACGAGGCGCAGCTGTGTGGCTCGCTGAGCGGTTCCGCTTCGCCGTTCGTTGTCCCATGGTGTTCGTTGTCCCTCAGGGGGGTCTATGGCGGTGTTCACGTTCCGATCTTAAGCACTCATGGACTCTCTTCAATGCCGCAGATCACTTGTGCACTGCAGATCACTTGTGCTCTGCTTCTCAGTTTGAGCTTCTCGGAGTGGTGGGGTACATGAATGGCTAAGAGTTGCACGTTTGAAGACAGTTCTTGGCACCTTTTGAGGTGGTGGCCCTTTTGCCAGACCGCACGGTGCGCAAGGATCCAAAGGAGGGTTTCAAGATGATCAAGATGTTAGCAACGCTGCTGTGCACGTGCAGCAGCGTTGCTTTTGTGGTGCCAAGGTGTTTTTCTTTGTCCCTTGGGGGAGCCTGATCTGGAGGACGAGGCAAGTGTTTTTGATTCACCTACCATCATCACCCGCCTTAGGGTGACCCCCACCCTTCTTTTCAGAGCGCCTTTTGTGGGCCAACATGACCAGGCCAATGTGGTGCTCGACACGCCCATTGCAGAGGGTGATGAGGACGATGAGGAGGCTGGATCTCAATGAACAAAGTTCATACGAGGGCTGATCACGAAGTCCACTATTTGAGCTATATATATATATATATCTACACAGGACTGTCACAGGACACTGACACGAGCCATGAGGCCCCTACTTTGCCACGTCTAGATTGAGGGAGTAAGACATGTAGATCACCCACAATCCAGAAGGAGCACCTAGCGGCATCATGCGACTGATCCCTGTTGGTCTACGGAAATCCGTGTCCACAGAGATTGGCTGAGAACTGCTTGAGAGTCGAGGCTGAGCACGAGGCTGGAGGTCCCGAAGAGGAGCGGTCTTGGGCACAAAGCCGGAATCTTCTGCGAACTGCGAGCTCAACACCCGGTATTTTTGGAGGAGTTCGCACAAGCTCCACAGGTGAACACAGCTGAGCCTCCGGCATGATTGTGAAAACGAGTCCAACATGGACTCTTTACCTTCACTCGCAATCAGGACCTTCCAACGACTTTCATCTAATTTCAAAAAAACACGTTTGAGAAGCAGTGTCCTTCCACTTGCGGCTGCAGCGCAACCTGCGCTTCTACGCTTCCGCCAGATGTTCAGCTTGTCCCTGACGCAGCTTGCTCCAATGCGGCACCTCCCAATGCCCGAGCTTGACACCATCACCCTCATGGTCCGGGGCCCAAAAGGGGGCCCAGACTCACGGTCACAAGTTGAGTCATTGCAATTGCAAGTTTCTGAGAGACACTTCCAATCTTTTCCAGAAAGGAGACCAGGCATGATGCTATCCTTCTCTATATACTGTAATGTCTTTCTTTGGACGTATGTTGCAATAATGTCACTAGCTGTCTGATGTGGCATTTTGGGTGCACAGTCCTGACAGTCCAGGTATTTTCACCTCGACCTCGTGATGGTGCTTATGGTGTGGGAGTTTCTGCTGGGCAGGCGAGGAAGTGCACGAGTTGTGCTATGAAAGACACATGTACTCGCACACGACGTATGCCTTTCTTGTAAGAAGAGCCGCTCTGTGACGTGTGGCAGGTCCCGACTTTGTGCTTTTCATCTTCAGTGGAGTCCAACGCTGTCTTGGCACACTTGTGGTGGACCAAGTTTTGTGGTGGAGCCTGCAGGGCCCCGGAGGGGATGGTCAATTCCGTTTGGTCAGTCACTAACCAACGAATCCATGCGGATACGGCTGCTCAGCATCCCGCCACCGACTCCTCTTGCAGCGCCTGCTGGTCTGGCCCTCAAGAGTACAAGGCACAGGAGAGAAATCAAATGTGTGAAGCTAGAGGAATGAGAGGAGAGGGACTTTGATCAGGTCTGGAGCTGGATGAGCTTTTGATGAAGGATGGATGACCTCAGAAAGTCATGTTATTTCTTAATATGGATGTTTGTGTTGATGTGAAGGAGATACCAAAGCATGGCGTCCTTCCAGACCCAGAGTTCACCAAAAAGCTCCAGCCAAGGCTGGAGAAAGTAGAACGAAGATTCCGTGCAAAGTCATTCTGTTCAAGTCTAGTTCTATGGTAGGCAGTTCTACATCAAGACACACCAGTCACCTCGCGACACGTTTTGTGAGGAGAAGATGGAGCATGCCTGCAAAGGTGCTGGACGTGAGAAAACTGACGGCAAAACTGACGGATGTGATTCATTCTTCAATTGGCAATTTTGCTGGTCTTCACAAACTGTCAGACCAGTGCTACAGCAGTGTCTCCAAATGGAGGCATTTTTGCCTTCACCCAAGCGCTGAAGAACTCCAGGATTGAAACCGCTTGCGTTTAGGGTCTGTGTGTCCTGGAGATTGAGCATGCCAAGGCCATTGGTGGATGTCAGGGATCTCTAGCTCTCGCCCTTCCCTCAGCCGAAGTGATGGAATCAATTGCAGAGGACTCTGCTTGCGCTGCAAGTTGCGCTGCAAGTTGCGCTGCAAGGTGAACACAGCCACTGGACCCAGTCTTCGAACGCCAGCCGCAGCAGATTACTTGTCCGGAGTTCGGTGGGTTCGCTCTTTGTCAAGTCTCCCCCGAAAGAATGTTGAAAGACAGCTGCCAGGATGCTTCCTGGACACTATGGTGCAATCAATGCTCTCAACTTCCACAGAGACCAAAGCTAAGAGGGTCATGTTGTCATTCAGGGGAGGAGATGTCGTGCAGGATCAGTTGCAGGATCAGTCGTCTAAATTCGTCTAAGCATCTGAGGATCGGATTCTGGTCTCTGTTGGAGCGGACTGTGGCACACTGAGGAAACGGAGGATTTGATCACTGGCAAAACACCCAATGGCAAGAGTCAAAGTTCAAGGGACATGGGTCAACCACAGCAGGTGAACACCCCTAGATAGACCATGATAGACCATCATGTCAGCGGAAACCTGCACACAGGCTATGTTCACCAATACTGCATGCAGACCGACACGGTTCCTGGGCTTTGTTTTCTTGCGACCGTCTTGCTCACTTTAGTGTTTTTGATCGTCACTTCAAAACGTTGAGCCAAACGTCATGGGCAGTTGTTGGCGCGCCATTTGTCTTCCCCGCCGCCGGAACCTGCCGTGGTGCGAGACTCGGCGCTCGGTCGACGGTGCGGTCGAAGCGCGCGAGCCGGTCGAAGCGGCACAGTGGTGCGAGCCGGTCGTCTCGCCGAGGTGCTGGGTGCGACAGCATGCCAGACCATGCCTTTGGCGGTGACACTGGACTCGGAAGGCCCTGAGTTGTGGCGGCCATGTGATAGTTGTTCTTTCCTGTTTTTCTAAAACGGTCCATTTCTTTCTTTACCCAGTTGGTAGTATCGATCTCCAACATATGGTCAGACGGCTGGACCCCATAGACGCAGATGGTGGTAGAACTCACTCACACTCTGTCTTGACATGGAAGTGAATTTTCCATCCGTTCGTAAAGGAAGAACATCAGGATTGTCCTTTCCAGCGGCCAGTTTCCACCTCCATGTCAGTGAGTCAGAGGGTAGCCAGCAACTGCTTTATGGCACACCTCTCAGGAAGTCTTCGCCTTTGGGACCTCAAGCGTGGCTGCAAGGTGATGGAAACATGGACCCCAAACGGCGAGGATGGAAGTCAACAAGCTGAAAAGCTATGGAGACCGCCCGGACACATTAGTGTATGGTTCTTCTAGTTAGGCAAAAACCGTTGGAGTATAATGGAGACCTGAACTCCTCAAGAATATGATAGGGGGTTGTCAAGAACTGCAGTTGTTTGGTCGAGATCAAGTCATTTTGATCATTTATCACATTGAACCCATTGCTCAGATTTTTGTTGAGTGTATTCTTGCCAGATTGCGAGAATGTCATGCGAGGGTTTGCAGCTGAGGGGTGAACTTGCCCTTGTTTCTTTGGAGAACGCAGAAATAGGACAAATGGAGCAGACATGCACTTGATAAGGTCCAATCGATGATCCGAAGCAGAAGGCCGACACTGAGGAGGTGGGCCAGATACATGGGATCCCGCGCTGGATGCGCCATAAGCTTCTTGAGCCTTCTTGGTCAATGGAAAGCAGCGCACCTACTGGACTTGCCCCACCGAGGGTACTGGCTATGTGTTTTCAGCATTGCAGGATCCCGAAGCCACTGTGAAGCCTGTGATCAAGTTGGAGCAGGCCGTCTCTGAAGAAAATCAGTCTCTAGCAGACGGGACAATTGTGCAGTATATTACATGAATCTACAGGTAGACCCTATAGGTACTTAGACCCTACAGGATTGGATCTTTGACTTAGAAAGTTCTCAATCCTGTTTGCTCTCAGGATGAGACTCCCAAGCTGTTGCTCTCTACTGCCACAGCTTTTTGTGCCATTTGCATGTCGACCCGGCCGGTGCTTCTAATGTCAACCCAACGACTTGCATCGACCTGACATCGGCCCGTACGCGCGGATGGCAGGTCTATGGGAGCTAATGAGGAACATGTGGAGGTGGAAGGGGGAGCGGAAGATGAAGGGGCTGAGGCGGGGAACTACAGTAGATCATGCAAATACATGACGGATCATCGCAGTTTGTAAATCCACAAGTCTTGTGAATCACACCAGCGGGAAGGCTCCAGAGGCTGATGCAGAAGGCCACCGAAAGGCACGCGCCCTTGTGATACTTGTTGCTTTGGCTGGCCAGGAGCACACAGCCCTGCTGAAGCTCAGGCATAATACGGAGAATCCTTACAGTTCAAAGCAAAACCTATTTAGCAATCTTGATGGGAGGACCGATCTTGGCTTGTTTTCTTCGATCAAGGCTTTGGCTCTTCGCATTTCTCCTTCGGCTAATGAGACTTTTCGTGTTCTGCGGCCAGTCCAAGTGCTGAAGAAGCTCTTTCCAAGTTTACCAAAGGCACCAAGAAGCATTCGACCCCGTTCGACCGGTTCGTTGGCATTCGGCGCTTTGCGACTGTTTGCGACGCGCAACCTCTCTCTCTTCGTCGCAGGGGGACGTGGCAAAGAGCTTTGAAGCTTTGTCCAAAGTAACGGACTCAGGGACGTCACTGTGACAGTCACGAAGCGACGTCACTGTCCGATCTCTCACGAAGCGATGTGAACAACATGCGATGTCTGGTGGATGCGATTCACGGCGATGATCGGTGATTCAGGAAGAACTGGCGAAGCTGCAGCCGCAGGCAGGATGCTGTTGAAAAGATCCTGTTTCAAGTTGGGAACAATAACAAGGGCAGAGTGTGAGTAGACTGTGAGTGGCTGCAAGGGCGTACCCTCAACCATGGAGAAGGCCACGTTGCTCAGCAAGAAGAAGTCTCTGCCTCAAACCAGCTGATCAAGAGCTACTAGTAGCTTCTTGCTCCTAGTAGCGATGCCCTTGTTCCTAGTAGCTTCTTGTTACTAGTAGTAAGGCCAGGAGCGCCCCTAGTAGCGTCCTTGCTCTTAGTAGAAATGCCCTTTGTTGCCTTTTGCACTCCAAGACCTCCTGAAGACCCCGCAGCTCGTGCTCCTGGCTGTCTTTACTTCGTGCCGGGCTCCCGACCGAGACTGAGCTGCCTGGCAGGTGCCCGGAGTCCTCCCAGCAAACCCACCAAGTCGCGACTCAGACGAAACGACCACGCGCCGCCGCCTTCAGCCGACGCATCTCCCTAGGACGAGGTTGATGAGCCGATCACGCAGCAAGCTAGACGTTCGGGCCTCATGACTGGGGGAGCCAATGAACTGCCAGTGCCTACTAACCCGCGTGTGGTGCAGACCTCGAACATCATGATCATGAAGCTGACGGCCGAAAACCTCCGAAAGCCTCTTTCTGAGAAGAATTCGCAGATTCTCAGCCTGAAAGATCCACTGAAAGATCAAGACTTGGCACCAGGTTTGCTGCGGCTCAAGCTGCACAGCAAGAAGCGGCAGGAGGAGCAAAGAAGGTGCAAGACGGCTCTTCTCCATTGTCAGGTAACTAAAGCATCCTTGACATGCGACGATCTAAGAATACCTGTGACAGGTCGCCTCCTCCTTTGGCTCAGCTGGATTTGCAAGGTGCAACATTTGAGATGTGTCAGTTTGGGAGTGAGATTGTAGGTCTGACGAGAAAGCTTGCTTTGGGTTCATCTGGACCCTCGAGGCATTTCTGCTCGTGAATTCTTCTTTTTTGTTCTGCAGGTCAGCGACACTCAATACGGCTGACCGGCAGAAAGCTGAAGAGGCAGATCAAGTATTCAGATGGCTACCGGCTCCATAATTGGGGGATGACTCCCAAATCTCAAGATCAGGTGGACATGAAGCTTATTCCCTGTTCCAATCTTCAGGGGAGTTTTGGAGGTGTCTGAAGTCTGAAGTCTTTGTGAGGCCATTCTGCCTCATGGTGTTCCGAAGAATTGGCAGGCCTAGACTCGACCACTTCAACTCAGTGAATGCCAGATGTTGTATGGCTCTCACTGTGAGGTCAGTGTGAGGAAGCACTTGAAAAAAGCCTTGACTGGCAAGGAGCCATGACTGATGGATTTATCTTGATTCAATTGGGCCGTGGAATTGTATTGAAAGGTGACCCAGAGGGCTGAGCAAAGGGAGGAAGCACTTGACAGGACACTCGCCAGTCCCGGATCCAGAAGCGCATCGATCAACTCAAGAAGGAGGTGTTGGACACAAGATGATTTCAGTGTGACACATTGCTGGACCCACACAGGTTGGTGGGGAATGAACCATTGCCTTTTGAGAGATGAATTCATTTAATGGAATTCTAATATCGTTTCACCCAGAATTCTTTCAAATTGCATACTTTAAACATCTTTAAACCGATCTTAATCTTTACACTAGAATATGGTACATATACTATAAATTAACATTCGGCGGAAGGCAGAAGTTTGTTTCTGCTGGATGTGCTGTACCAATTGGAATCTTCATAATCATCATCGTGTTTTTGTGTGGAGGGACAGACCATTTGGGTTACTTAGTGATGCAGAAAATGTAAGCCGTAACTAGTGGCATCATTTGTATCAACAACTTGTTTCATGTTGAATAAGGTGTCCTGAAAGCTTACTGAAATAGAACATACTGAATATTTATCTTTACAACACCCAAGAAATATAGAATTAAATCTTACCTTTAAATTAACAAATTTTAGTATATTCTTTACGCCTTTTCATATTTACCAATTATGAAAACTAACCGATAGATTAAATCGAAGTATTTGATGATATGGGGGGTGCTTACGTATTTAGCGGATAGGATGAATATATTAATTTGGGAGAATAACACATATAATAAATAATATTGAAGGATTTTGGGGATACGATGGATTTTAAATGAATCATAAACAAATCATCTAATAAAATTATGCGTCGGATTTTGAAATAAAAATAAAAAAATAAATAAATAAGAAAACTCGTGAAACTCACGGGGATCGTCACGTAGCAAACGGTAGTTTGCGGCTCAGGCCTCACCTTGGAAGCGGGTAGGGGGGGACTAGTTGCGCCGCAATGGACAAAGCCACACAGGAAGTGAGCTTGTGTGGTAGCCTCGTAGGGTGGACGGAACCAGACATCGAGGCTTTGGTGGGGCTTGGATGGACGGCCACTAAGCTGGCGACGCTCCGAGGATGTCGCGAAGAGATTCTCGATGGGATCCGCGAGGCAGCGGGGAAAAGAAGGGAGGCCTTCGAGGCCACTAGGGCTGATCTTCGTGAGCTGGTGAAACAATGCGATAACAGGTCTGCAAACATCCACCGAGCAGACACAGGTCGGCGATCCCAAGAACTGCTGGAGACACACCTGGCAGATCAGCGGGCGAAGAGAAGGAGAACCTTCGAGGGCTTCGAGGAGAAGGAAGTGATCGATGGTTGGCAATGCGAAGATTGTCAAATGGCCCACACGCCTCGGGAAGAAGCTGCACTTGGCAGGCTCGGATCTGGCACTGCGAGAGCTGGCGGAAAAGACAGAGCGGGACAGGTGGCTGTCCGAGCTACGGGACATTGTCAAAAGAGCCAAGCTCCTAGTACCACTTCGATCCAATGAAGAATCGATGCTCCTTAGGATCGCCAAAGGGAGGCGTCCCAACACGTTGAGGAAGCATGTCAAAACGTGGCAAAAGGTGGAGCAATGGCTGCAATCGGTCTACGGTTGGTCATGGCCGACTTCACCCACGACTTTGCAGAGTACATCGAAGCAGTTGTCCAAGCACCCGAGGCGGCCTATAAGACGTTTATGTTCCTGGAGTTCGCTGGTGAGGTGAATGAGTCGGAGTTCATCTATCGCTCATTAGCGGTGAGGAACGCCATAGAGGAAGCACAACTGAGGTTGGCATCTCGGGAGATTCGGCCTTCCCGGTAGGCGTTGCTTATCCCGCTGGCTATTGTGGAGGCCATGGAAACGATGGTGTTGTGTGATGACGCCAAGCCCTTCTCCAGGGCATATGCTTGGTTTCGCTTCGTCAAGATCTGGTCGGGCATGCGTTTCGACGATATTAGGGGAACACCCAATCGAGCTACGAAACTCACACCTGGTGGGAATTATCCACAAGTCCAAGATCTCCGGCCTAGGCAAACGTATCTTGCTCTTGCCTTTCTACGTGAGCAAGGAGGCATGGGTGAGCCGGTACAATTGGGTGGAGGTCGGGTGGAAGATTTGGACCTGCATGGAGGCGGGCATGTTGACCCGCGATTTTATGTTGCCATGGCCGTCGGCTGATGGGCGATCCTTCGCAAGGCGAATGGCGGCATCTTTGGGTAACTCAGGATGGCAGGCGAGTTTCGCTCCTGTTTAAAGGGATTGGCATGTTATGGACTGAACATAGCGAACGATCGACTATCAGATCGTGGGCGGCCGCGGCGAAGATTCCGCCGGACATCAGGCGGCAAATGGGCCGCTGGCGTCCCGCAGCCGATGAAGGCTATGAGCGGGTGGTGAGAGCCAACATCCTGAGAGCCCGGAGGATCATCGCCTCTTTTCTACGAGACAAGAAGGGCCGAGGCGATCTAATGGACGAGGCAGCGGTCTACGAGGCAGTGGGATTACGCATGGGGCATTTGGGCTACCCAGATGAGGCGCTTGAGGAGCAGTCCAGCTTGCTGGTGCGTTTTCAGTCGGAGGAGCTGGCAGATGAGACGAGCTGGAGGCCAAAGTGGACACCATCGGGCCCCGTGGCGCTGGTGGAACCAAATGATCCTGGGGATATTAACGATGCAGCGACGGACCCAGGTGATGCGGGTTTCGAATTCGATGCTGAGCTGGAGCCAGGTGCGGGCGATGAAGTGGTGCTAGCGGAGGCTGTAGCCGGCGCTGTAGCCGGCCAGTTTATCGTGTCCATAGTTGGGCGTTCGCAAACGCGAACGCTGCATCGGGTAGGAGAGTGCTACCGGAGACCGGGTGAGCATTACTCGCAATTTGAAGTTCTAGGAGATGAACCTCCTGATGCTAGTAAATATCATCGAGCGTGTTAGAGCTGCTTCGGTAAAGCGGGGGCCGTGGCAGGAAACTCTCTGGAGGATGATAGCTCCGGAGAGGTGGATTCTTCAGACTCAATGGAGTCGGAAGTGGAGGCGTCGTCGTGAGGCGGATGGGACTCACGGTGAAAAGGAGGGAGAGTGCTGCACAGAGGTCGGGTGTACGGCATAAGGTCAAAGGGCATGGCCGTCCACAGGTTGAGAGGGGCCTACAGGTGCGGGCGAGAGGGGATTGCGAGAGCATGGCAAAGATCGTGTGGGTTTCTTGCTTTGCATTCGTTCGAGTCGTTCACGCGTCGTTCGGAGTTGAGCTTTTATCGGATTTGATCGACAGGTGTGGACGTGATTCGTGCTGGGGCTCCAGCCCGAGGGGTCGGCCGTCCGGTAAGGGGTGGACCCGTCTCGCGGGGGAACGCGCCCTCGCGAGGGCTTATGGCTGGGGCGGCAGCGGCAGCGCCGGCGCTGGACATCGGCCATGATACGGCGGCGAGGCGGGCCAACGCCATATCGCTGCTAGATGCCGATCTTCATGGGCTGCTGTAGATCAAGGAGGTCAACGAGACCGTGCAGGCGAAATTGTCGGTGGCCAGAGCTCGGACGATCAGTCGGCTGAACGCAGTGACCGACGATAGGGCAGGCATGAGAAAGTTTTGTGCTGACGTCTTGCACCTGGACGAGACGAACGACGTCATCGACATCGCCTCGATGGTGGACGCATGGGAATCCTCTTCGACAAGGATGGCTGTCCGGCATAAGGCCGAGGTAGAGGTAGGGCTAGCAAGCCAACCAAGAGCCTTGAACAAGGTGGAGATCCAGGATCTGCTGGTGAAGTTCGAGGCGGTGCATGGCATCAAGCTGGAGAACAGGAATGTGCCAGCCGCAGCAACCTTGGAGCAGATCTTTGATCAAGTAGAACAAGGAGAACTGAAGAACATGAGCCTGGTTCAGTTCGTAAGTCGAGAGGACTCTGAGGCGGACGTGCTGGGGGCAACCATCGAGAAGGGAACGGGGGCGCTGAAGGTGAAGAAAGGATACGGAGAGTGTCCAAAGGCACGTACGCCAGAGGAGTTTCGGCGACGCATGGCTGTCGTCTCGTACTCATACCTTCTGGCCCAGTTGAAGTTCCCACAGAAAGCCATTCTACGTGACCTTCAGCCCATGCACTTCCTCAAGTACCTGGACTTGATGCTTGGTGAACATGTCCTCGGTTTGAAGGCCAAGAATCAGGACGGAGGGACAGTGGCTTCCCCGGAGCTTGACCTAATCCTGTCCTACGACTTCCAGGTAAGATGGTCAAGCTGGCGAACGAGGGCCGCTTGTTGCACGAGGCACTAAAGGAGTCAATGATGGACACCGCGATCAAGGAGAGGTACTTCTTGACGCCCAACGTGTACTCTCAAGTGGCAAGTCACTCGAGGCAACCGCCATGGAGATCTCGAAGTCCGCCAGGGGAGAGACCATGGGCAGCAGACCGAGGACGTGACTGGGATCGAGGAAAGGGGAAGTCGAGAAAAGGCAGCGCCAAAGGCAAAGGAAAGAAAGGGGGCAAACAGGCGCATGATCGTACGCCTGATGGACGCCAGATTTGTTGGCGTTGGAACAATCCCGAAGAGAGGTGCCGCTTCAACTGTGGGAGACTACATGTATGTCAACTTTGCTTCGATCAACATCCAATGCATGCATGTGACGGCAGCGGCAAGAGCAAGGACACCTCTGGGGGTGCCCCAGAGAGTGGAGGAGGAAGAGGCGCCTGACGGCGCGAAAAGGTGGATCCTGCCCCAGATCCGCCCGAGACAGGAGGCACAACGAGGGGCACACGTCCAAAGGAGACTATGAACGTGCTCTACCTGTTCAGTGGGCACAACGGAAGTCGTCGGTGACATCGGTGCTGCAGGAGCTTTGCCAAGGTGGGGGCATTCAGTGCAGAGTTCATGAAATCGACATTCTCAACTCTCCAGACTGGGATCTTTCGATTGGAGCCGTGCAGCAGGGTTTGCTCGACAGGATCAACAAAGGTGAGTTCGATGTGGTGTTGGTAACACCTCCGTGTTCCACATGGTCCCGAGTGAGGGGGGCCAACTGCAGAGGCCCGCCGGCCATTCGCTCGAGGGCCTATCCATGGGGGTTTCCTTGGCTATCGGCGCGTCACCACAAGGACGCCGACCTGGGTAACATCCTTGTCATCTTCATGCTCGATGTTTTGGAAGCCCTGGGGAAGCACCCAAGAACGGCATCGGGTCGATTGGTCATCATCTTCGATG